TGTAAATACAATACAATTTTATGTTTTTAACTTAACCGTATAAAATTTTTCCTTTCTGTGAACGGCGAAACTAGCCAACAAAACGAAAAAACCTGCACTAGCTATAGCAAAATGTTCAACGCTAATGACAGTTCGATGAATGGTACATGTAATACATATACATATACCCCAATAAATTCTAAACGGAAATGTCATAAGCTATAATTTAAGAATAATACAAGAATATTTTCAGCCTAAAATCGGCAGAAAAATAAGAATATTTAGCCTGGGCCGGAAAAACAACATTCTTATAAAAAAAAAGAGTGTATACATGCGACTCGGTTTAGCTAGAAAAGAAACTATTCTAGTCATGTATAAAAGAGAAAACCGTCGGTTTAAAAAACTGAAGTAAGAAATAGGTTAATTTGAAGACGCAGGAAACACGTCGCTGTCTCAAGCAATCGACCGGTTAATGTGTTGTTTGCCAGAGGGAAACAACTGAAAAACCTCAGTTTCCTGTTGACTGCTGGAAACGGCACAACTGTTGTGCTGGATACGCTGTTGTTGAACAAGACGTAACTTCATTTTATGAGACGGGTGAATCAAATTTAGCAGTTGACTCTGCAGGGGAAATGTTTTGACATGGGCAATGGAGTTCGGCTTCCACTTTATCAAGTCGTTTGCTACGTGGCAAAGATCTTGTCGGGATGCATTCAACAGCACGACACTGGATCACATGATGAAAAGAAATATTCCTGCAGAAATCCACAGCATCAAACGTACACGGTCAAGAATGCGTCTGTTTCTAAGGAGAAGAAGCAGACATTAAAAGGATAGACCAAGTAGCTGATGCAGTAGAAAATTTTCACTAGTCAACCATGATTCGAAATTTCGCGCTTTTTTCTCGCTCCGTTTTCTTCACTATCTTGGAGACTGGAACACGCTTATTTAGAGGAATTTTGAGTATCCTATGGGACAGAAAATATCCTGCCCACACTTTTTGCAAAGGCCTTTGGTCCATCTACTTGTATACGTTTCTCCTCCCTGTCCTCCGTGCCCTAACAGTGTGTGATACAGATTCCTTCTCCGCTGGTCATAGAATTGCCATTGAAAGGAAGCATTGTTATTTTTAAAATAATGAAATAACCTTGGTTGGTCACCTTGGTTGTTTTTGTGGTAGAGTTACAGATAGTGGTAATAATTTAATAATAACGTAAGTGGAAGATGGAAGAAAGCATTGAAAAATTTGATGGAATTTGCATCGAGATAAAGCGATTAGGAGTCCCCCTAAAGCCGGTCCACTGCGTTTCGGGTCGGAAAATCAATTTCTTTTAAACTTTGCCCATGAATATATCTTAGTTCAAAAGTAATTGAAATTAAGACCTTCCATCGTGTATTGTAAACAGTCATAACAGAAAATAGCATATTTCGTCGATCGGCTGTGCTGATGAATCGTTAAAAACACATTTTTATGTTTCTATGTTTTTGGACATTCCCTTTGTTGGTCTGAATAGACATTTTGTTTAGAAGATGTGGGGATTTTGCACAGTGCGAGGATGAAAATTTGCATTTTTGAGCCCTTTCCCGCCTACGGCAATGTGGGTGGAAATCAAAAAATATTTAGTAGACATGAGTTGCTTTTGACCAAAATTGTGTGCTTTACATAATTTAAGGACCAATTTAATCCCAGGAGGTGAAAAAAATCGTTGAAATATGTGCAAAACTTTGAAGTGGTGAACTCGGTAATATGCGCGAAAATTTACCCTTTGTCACTACAACAATTTGGCCACCCGCGGGTGCTGAAGTTATTTTCCTCCCGAAAAATTTTATTTGGAAATATTTTCAAAAACTAATGCGGTTTCAATTACTTTCGGACTAAGATATATTCATGGGCAAAGTTTAAAGGAAATTGATTTTCCGACCCGAAACGCAGTGGACCGGTTTTAGGGAGACTCTCTGTTAAATGTCATGAAAGTGGTTCAGTACAACATCCACTATCGAAGGCCTCGGCGAGGAAATTTAACTCAGCAACACGCATACCCCTTACGTTAGGCACATTTCCAACACTTTGAGACTCATCTCAGCCAGAAAAAAACTGCTATGGAAAATTCCAATAACGTTTCTTTTCGATCGACGTCATTTTTATCATGTTTCTACAGGCGATCTTTTTCTCGGCGGCCATCTTGTTACGCGCAGTAGTGAGGGTTGCACAGTGCAAAACGAGAAAATCACATTTAGTTAACTTTATTTATTTCCGTAACGAAAATGTGAAATCAGTTAGGTAACGAATCTATGTGCAAAGATATTGGTTGTGTGACATATAATAATCAAACCAGCTAAAGGCACATTAATTTTGTTCAGTCGTTGTAGTTTTAATTTTCCTTTCCTTACAGTTGCCATGGCAACGCATAGTTAAGGTTAAATGGCGTGTTTTAAAGAAGATGTACGTGACTGAAATGATACTATGTCTTGATAAACTAGGACAAATGAATTCATTAAAATTTCATGTACTTTCATTAATCGTGGTTTCTATGGAGACCGACGAAATTCTCGCTCGGCACTATATCTGAAAATGCTTGTATTGGTGACCACTATCGGAGTGCCAAATTTCATGCTCTATCTTAAAGTGCACAATTCACTTAAAATTTCGAGCTAAGCCGCCAGACTATTACGAAAAGGTGGGAAAGAACCTTGTTTTCTTTATTCTCTATTTTAAATTCTTCGAAGTGATGACTGACGTCAGTCGTGACTCTAACGTCAATGACTGTATATTACCTATATACAATCATTGACGTCAGGCTTGATGATAACCTTTCAGAAAATGGTCAAGCAGTTCACTGTGATGCGTAAACGAAATAGCCAAATCTCGCCTAAAAATGAGCTGCACGAATGAACGAATAAGCAAAAATACATTGCTCGATGGATTTCATCTGCTTATAGTTAGGGGTATCTACTAGGAAAATCAGTTCTTTCATATTTTGAGCAAGACGCCGATAGTGAGGGCTCATTGGGCTGCCGACTACCCGATTAATATAATATTTTAGAAAGTATAGATTATAATAACGATTACTCCTTTTTCCGGATTGAGTGTATAGGTTCTCCTAACTGGTGGATGAAACAAAGATAAAGGATATTACATGGCCGCGCGGAGATACGAAATTTCTCTTCGAGTGTAAAAAATTAAAAGGATTTGTATAAAGAAAACAACTCTTGCCATCCAGTCACGCTTAAGTGGTTGTCCATACAACTCCTTGTAAATTCTAAAATTTTTAGGCGGTCGTTAAATCTTCCCTTAGACATTTAAGGGCTCAAAGTGCCTGTCATGATTAAAAGGAGATTTGAGCCCCGTAATAACACGACAGTTTGAAAATTTCGAAATTTACAAGGATTTGTATGGAAAATCACTCAAGCGTGAATGGGTGGCAAAAGTTGTTTTTCTCATACAAATCCTTTTTATTTTCGGAGGCCGTTGCAATCGCTTTTTGAGATATACGGATGAAAATTGAAAGGTTACCTAATTTTAATATGCTATTTCAAAACGTGCTTACAAAATGTTTCAAAAGCGAGCTGTCGTTTAACGAATCACGTGATCAAGTTATGCAAAAAGGCCTATTATGCAGGTCTTGGAGAGGTGATCCACCTGTACCGATAGGTTACCACTCAATTTGCAAAGTTTTTCACATCAAGATCAGCCTCATTCAATGACTGTGTCTAAATGAGTAGAAAGAATGTTTTAAGTGTCGATCCGATATTCTCTTGGTTGTGGTTATAATGAACGTGGATCAAAAAATGTCTTTACTGGTACCAGTGGAAACGCGACTGAACTAGAAATTCCAACTTGAACTCATCAAAATAAATGAATGCATAACTCAGTCAAGGAACAAAGTCAGAAACGTCAAAAGAAGACAGGGGAATTAAAAGTTAAAGCAGGGAATCAACATTATTAAAGTCTAAAGTGCTACTATCTGCCGGTCCACTAGTAAACGTAGGAGACATGTTTTTTGTAGTTTTGATGAACACTACTGTTTTCTCCCTCTTGAGTGAGTATCTCTCTAAACATTAATGGAAGTCGATAATTAATCCACAGCGCCACTATATGATGCGAAATGACATTTGTGTTCTTTTTTTTTTAAATAAATGTTATCTTTCGTCGTGTTTCAGTGGAAAAACACAGCTTCCACCATTTGCGGACGCAAACGTTTTCATCTTACAATTTCTTTCATAGTCTCCTGGGTTGAGTCACCAAACTTGTGTGATGGGATATCCTCGAAAATAATGTATAATAAATGACCAAAAAAAGAAAAAGAAACTTAAGCATTCGATTTTTTTCCTCGTTTTTGTTTTTGTCCTTTGACTGTTTCTTTTGTGATAAAGTTAGTTAAATTTAAAAAAAAAACCTTACCGAACAGAGAATCCCAGTTAATTCTTCATCATTAGTTTTATCGTTATTCTTCTTAGTTTCTCATCGGCGAATCAAATGCTCCCTTTCATTCACACAAAGGAACGTGCCCTCATCTTACTTTATTTTAACTTTCGATAACCGCGAACAAATATTTTTTTCGAGTTGTCTCCCTAGACGGAAAACGTGTAATAAAAACTAGTCCTATTCGTTTGGTTGCATGCACAGCTCCGTTACCAGTTAAGAGGGTTAGGTATCTAAGTTTTTCACCTGTTATTGTAGGTTAAAGGCTCACTTGAAGCTGTCAAAAAGCTGCAGTGGGTCCGTAAGATCAACCTCAGGTCTCAGCAGTTTTCAAATCCATTTCATCTAAATCACTTCAACCAAAAATATTCTTACCTAATTGTAAATGACCTTTCATCATCTCAGCCGAAATAATATAGTTCTTATTTTCGTCATAAAGTCAAACTGCATTGCTGTTTTAGCGATCATGAAGCTACAGCGCGTAGCAGGACTTGTTTTTCTTTTGGTGGGCTCCAAGATCGTTTTTGCCAGTGATAATGGAAATAGTGAAGAGGGGGAAGAGGAAACTCCTAGTGAATACATTCTTCCTGGTTACGTGATGGACAACGATGCTGCCATTGAACTTCTTCATCGTCAAACCGAGATGACCTACCAACTCAACCTACCGAAATACTTAAATGAAATGAAAGCTTCATCCCCTAACATTCGACAGCAATTCGACGATAAAGATTTTGCCGTTGTTGGTTCACTCGCTACGTTAGATGCCAGCGTGACGTTTGGCGAAGGAATAAAAAATCTAAAAGTTATCCGGGATGACACAATTGCTGGGTTTGATGGACTCCCCAATCCTGATAATGGCAAGTTACACAACCGTGTTCAAAGACTGAACTCCTTGCGGAATATGGTCTGGCTACTAAAAGAAAAAATGAAGTCTGGAGTGGTAACTGCCGATTCGCCTTTGATGGATAAGCTCAGAGAAGCGCAGACCTGGCTTTCAACCCAAACTGGAGGGCATCTAGGTCAAGGAATGACGGCTGTTCTTGAAAAGGTTGGAATCATGGACAAGTTGAAAGCAAAATGGGGCGCAAACTCTTTAAAATTTAAAAGCTTCTCAGCCGCTGCTGCCAATGGACTTGACTTTGCCATCAATTCGTATAACACATTCGTCAATTCAGTAGCACTCAATCAAGAAGTGACAGATGCTAACATTCTTGCCCTTAGTAGCTCAGTGACAGCTATGGCTGGGGATATAGCGATGGGTGTCTCACAGATATTGGCAAGCAGTGCCAAAGTGGCAAGTGCTGCCGGACCTATCGGGTTTGCAGTAGCTGCAACTCTGTACATCGCGTCGTACGCTACCGGAGTCGCATCAGGAATAGTAGGGCAGGAGAACCTAGAGCCAAAAGATTATGTCAAGATATTTCTAGGACCTCTAATCCCTGCTCCAGATTTTGCAGCTATGGTGGAAATTTTTGACGCGTATGCAAAGGGAGACGTCTTTCATGCGTACTACTTGTACATGACACAATCGACTCCTGCCGCTTTCTATATCGTGGCCATGGCAATTAAGGATGTGAAAACTGGTTCGAATGAACTGAGCAAATATACAGCCTTCTTAGAGTTTTTGAGAATGGCACACTTGATTGAAAAGAGGGATGAGTTCCAGGAAAAGCTCAAGAACAGTATGAAGTCTATCATTAAAGATATCAAACCTAAGAAATTTCTTTTTGCCTATCCTGCCGTTTTCAAGACTGACGCAGAGAGTGGAGAATATTCGACTGAAGGATGGAACAACTCACCAACATTAAAACGTGAATTTGAAATCACTGATGAGCTTGTTAACAAGGTTGTGTTCATGGCTACTTACAATGATGATTTTAAGAAACCATATCAATGTCGTGCTGAAGCTGCTCAAGGATTCACGTTTTGTCCCAGAGTTGTCGATCGCGGTGATAATGGGTTGATCTTTTTGGGAAGTAACGAATTGACTGACAAAGTAATATTGGAAGAGAACACAGAAGCTTACGGGATGGGAGGAGATGATCAATTTGAATTGAAGTCACCCAGTGGAATAGGAACAGTCAAAATCGATGGAGGGGCAGGAAGTGACTACATTGACACGATAAATGCCCACCGGGAAGGACTAAACTATATTTCTGGAGGTGGACCAGAGAGAGATACCATCAGAGGGGGATTTGCTAAGGACATTATCTCTGTGGACAACGACGAAGTTTGGGACGTTGATGGTGACAACGTCTTCTTGGTAGAAGGAGCTGGTAACGACAACATCCAGGTGGGACCTGGAGCAGACCTCACTATCATCAAGAAATCAGCGGGCACCGCGTCATTTACCATGCACAAAGCGAACAAAGAGACAAGAGACAAGCAGAAACCAAAGAGAATTGTGTACGATAGTGATACCAGGTTGACTCATGGGGAGAACAATGCAGACAAAGATATCATTGAAGGAAGCTATACATACCACGATGTACTTTCCCTGACTAACTACAAGCCAGACACGTCAACACGATCGCCTGACCAAAGAATAGTTCTTATTGATCAAGGAAACGCCGAAGGAAGGAGGACCGTGGATTTTTTTATAAGTCAGATCACTCAAGCAGTCGACGATCTCTTTGAAGATCACCATGGCGAAGTGCTCTCTAGTGCCTATCCTTTTCGTGCTCTAATGGTGGAAGATGCTCAGCACATCTACTTCAAACACATCGAGAGATTTGAACTGAGCAAACACAGTTTCAATCTTCTTCTACTGGCAAACAATCCGTATCGAAACACAAGGCACGAAGTGATTGGTGGCGCGTTAGACGATTATGTCATCAACTTAGATGAAGACATTGAAGTCCTGGCTCAGATGGGCACTGGTGCTAATCGAGTGTTCTCTGGTCCTGGAAATGACGCCTACTCTGTCATTCTGGATAATTCCAAAGACGTAATCTACGACCGGGGAGGTGAAAATATCGTTGCTATCATGTTGGAAGAGAGCATGACGCTTCAAGACGTACAAATCATGCGGAACGGGAACAACCGTTACAGAATATCAAAAAAATTTGGTTACTCCTTACTTGATTATGTGTTCCATGGCGACAATGAGCAAGACAAGGTTCAGTTCCTTTTCAGAGATAACACAGGCAAAGAAGTTGTCTTTAAGATGCTAAAGCGGCCGCAGTATGTTACGAACAGGTTTCTTGACCTCGTTAATATAAATGACTATCATATCGGTTACGAATTCCTTTGTGAATACAGAGATATAATATTGAAGATTTCCCCTGCAAAAGGGGAGACACTTCATGAAGAGGAATGCAAGCGCAAAGATCCTGCACGGAAAACAAAATCCGGAAAACTGAAACATGCAAAGCATGGGAATGGGAAATGAAAAAACGAATGTGAAAAATATATTCCTAAATTCAACAGTGATAGCCTATCATTGTATGGTGAAACATAAACTACATTACGATAAGCGTTCTTAAAACATACAGTAGAAACTTACTTCTGAGATCAATCAAAACGGTTAACTTAGCCATATAATTACCATCTCTCACCTAAAGTGGTAACAACCCCAGTTAAAGGAGTTGAAACTATGAAGAACTTCCAAAACTTAAATATCGTTTTTCATTTCTTTACGGTCTTACATAATATATGTATATTGAAAGTTGCGTTGCATTGTAGAACCTTGTAGGTTAAAAAGCACCGAAATTTGCATTGTAAAACCTTGCCATCTTATACTCAATAAACTGACGTCCTTTCGAGGAGCTTATTCTCATCTCTTAGGCACATTGGGCTGATGTTTTACAAAGGTAGCCATCAGTAACCACAAATAGATTTTGGATTGATTTTGGATTTCTTAGGTATAATAATTTACACCTTGTTTTGGCTTCTTATAGTTTTGTAAGGAGAAAATTAAATCTCTTCGATTTTATATGACACAAGCGCTTCTACATCACGGAATTTTTTGCGAATAGGGCTTTGACCTAGCCAACCACTTCCTTCTTACTCTGTCCTTATGGCTTACTGTTGTCCTAAAGTTCATTGTTTCATTTATGCACTCACTCACATTTCCTTACACAGGGAAACAATCTATGCGTAACAAGACACACATAGTCGAGGCCTTATGAATCCTAATATGTTTCCTGATGTCTGGGTCTTCAGTTTTCTGTTCACTTGTATTTAAGAGAAAGAGCTGTGTCACGATATTTATCAAAATTCAAAGTGGGGAACGGCCACCAAATACATTGAAACATAAAAATAGTTTAAATTATTACAAGTTGATATAAAGAACAAATCAAATGCTGAGCTGGAAAGCTATGAGGTAGCTCTTTTACGAAAAGCACAAGACCCAGACAACCACTGGTGCTGATCATTTTTATGAAATTAAATAAGCCGCAACGTGAAATCTCCGCTGCAGCTACTACACCGGGATCAACTTTTCGATTCGCTCTTTATTGTCAGTATCAACCCGTTCATCTGCTTTTTCTCCGCGATCTCCCGCGTGTGATACTTTTGATCCAAGTAATCAAGGTCCAAGGATAGACACTGCCTTTGTTTCGAGATTTTCAGTGCGTAGGGGTTTCAATAGCCTTAATTGGTTTGCAAGCACGTGACAAGGTGGACATGTTGGAGGTCAGTACCATAAACATTCTTTTAATAGAATCTACGAGAAAATGGAGTTAAATTTCCAGAGGAGAGAAATGTAAATGATCTCGGTCACCAACATGGCCGCCGTGACGTCACGTGAAAATCGGCAATGGACAGTTACGCTAAAATTTGACAGTAAAGCCAATTTCTGTCCAGGCCCCGGTTTGTTATCAAGTAAGGTTTGTATCTTGTCCTTATACCTTTATTTAATCATACCCCAAGTGAATGCGCGAGGGTCCTCTTCACAATTTCTTCCTTTAGACCATGTATACCAAGCGTTTATTGAGACCTCAGCGTCACGTGACCGTAAACATGGTTACACTGTACCAGCAAATTTACACTACAATGGAAAAACCTACACCGACAAACATGACATTGTCAATCAGTTCAATGAGTACTTTATAAATATTGGTCTAAATTTGGCATCTACAATTCCTCCCAGCAACTCATAATTCTAGTTTTTTTTCTTTCCCCGGTGGATTCAGCGCAAGTTGAGTTAGCACTCTCTGGCCTTGATAGGCACAAAGCCACCATAGATATCCCTAACTATCTAATCAAGATTGCCAGCAATCTGCTTTCAACTCCCCTCACAAACTTATTTAATGAATCAATTGAATCAGGTATTGTCCCGGATATTTTCAAGATCAAAGGTTACCCCAGTCTTTAAGACTGGTGCAGTGACAGACCCTGGCAATTATCGTCCCATTGCTGTCCTCTCTCCGTTTGCTAAAATCCTTGAAAGACTAGTGTACAATCAGCTAAGTCATTTCCTAGAAAAGGAAAACATTCTTTTTTAACACCAATTTGGCTTCAGGAAAAATTATTCTACTGAGCAAGCAATTCTTGAACTCACTGACAATCTTCAACTGAAAATTGACAGCAATGAAGCTATATGCAGTATTTTTCTTGACCTATCTAAAGCCTTTGATACTGTCAACCATCAGATCCTGGTGTCCCTCTGCAATGGTTTAAAAGCTATCTTGAAAGCACTTTCTATCCAATGTGGTGTTCCACAAGGTTCTACCCTTGGCCCACTTCTGTTTTTTATATATATCAATGACATGCCCAATTGTTTAGAAAAGGCAAATATTAGAACATTTGCTGATGACACCACTCTCTTCTACTCTTCCAATTCTCTACAGGACCTTGAAAAAACTATAAATGAAGAA